CTCTCATAACCCTCATCAACTTCAAACACTGTTTGATCAACATTATATATACGAACATTATGACCTGTAGAAAGGGACTCATTACACTTCATCGATTAAACCACATTTTTGCAATGATGATGCGAAGCATGAAGTTGTGCGGCAGCTGCTTGACCCCTGGTAACAAAATAATGAAGTAGCCTGTTGTATGTATGCTTCGCCAAACCAGTTATTGGCATGTTTCTTGCCCCCTTCAAAACCCTGTTAACTGATTCAAACAACTTTGTTGTCATATGGACATATCTACATCCTTCCACATCATATGCACGCTCCACTTTTCGTTTGGAATCTTATCAATCCAATCTGTAATCTCAGAACTGGTGTCACAAAATTTTGCAAAGGCTCTATCGAAATCAACCTTAGAAGGAGTATAACCTGTAAAGACAATGATAATTATTTATATTTACATTTATTAATACTTTCAAGTGAGACGTTAAAAAGATGTAACTCATACCTAAATTCATAACTGTCTTCTTAAATTTTTCATTCCTGAACCTTTGATTAAAATTGCTAGCAATATAGCGAAGGCAAAACACATGATGGGCATGTGGTGGCTGCCAGCCACGATGATTCTCCACAGCAGATAATATGCTTCTCCACCCTATTTAGTAACCTTCCAATTTTCACCGTACGTTGATTTTATTACCCTAACCCTCCACGGGAAACCCTGTTCATGAGCACAACATTTCATACTTAACTTTGTGGGTGTGCTCTCAAGCATAATCGCTTCTTAATGCTGTTTCATTAGGTTTCTCTTGATTGCCATCTACACCTCTTTTTTTAATGAAAATTCTTGCTTAACATACAACTTGTTACCTATTATCCATGGACCATTAATTGAACCTGAACCTGAACCTGAACTAGAACCCTCATTATAAGAATCTTATTCCTTCGGATGATCCCAATCAATGTATGTGTATTGTGGATTTTCTTTCCAAAAAAGAACAACATCGTCACCTGCATGTACGAAATAAAACTATTAAAAAAATTGTGAATATAAACGTATATTTTTATTGTTTACCAACACACCTTCTAAAATTTGTGGTAACCGAGTGGAAGCGATGTCATGATGTTCCTGGACATGAGATTCTCCCACAACATTATATTCTAGGATTTGATTTTTAGGAATACCACGTTCATCATCATTGTCCGAAGCGCTAGCATCCTCAGCAAGAAGTTGATCTTCCATTGCGATATTTTCATCATCGTCATCATCACCACCATCTTCCATAACCCAGGTAGGGTCATTTTCTCCTTCGACTCACAGATTAACAACTGGAGCAGCAGATGATGATGCATTATGTGCAAAACTGAAATCAACTAACCTCATGGGTAAAACAACATCCTTTGCTTCGGCAATATCCACGTATAACTCTAAAAAATCTTTCCTCGACTGATTGAAAAATTCTCCAATTACCATTTCTACGTCTTCATCGTCCACAACTTGCATACTAATGTATTGTGATTCGCACCATATTCTTGTAGTGACCATATCGATAGATTGCTTACCTTTAAGCGCTAACTTTTGACAAATTTTTTGATGTAGTTCGCTAACTGTTGAATTGCGCATGATACGTGTTGGCCTTTTCTCGCCTTCAAAAATGACACCACGTCGACCTTCCATTTCCTTACCATTATAATATAAGACAACACGAACAGAATCAGAATGTAAACTCATTTATACTATATTAACAAAAAACACAAAACAGAGTATGCATAAGCAAATGAGATTGTATAAAAGACTAAGAAGTTATGATGTAGAAGAGTTATGAAGAATGTGAAGATGATAAGTGTTTAAATAAGGAAGAAGTATGCCAATCACGCCCAAAAAATGCATGATAGGGGTGTGAGTCACGCCCAAATTAGGTTGGATATCCAAGGCATTTATGCATGGGGCGTGACTAATCACGCCTAATTTGGGCGTGAATCATGTGGCATTCACGCCTAATTTAGACGTGAATTGTCTTGCCCATTTTGGGCATAAATAACTGCTACATACTTGTAAATAATTTCAAAACAGCAATATATTTATAATTATTTATTAAAATTAAAATATTTTAATTTTTTTTGCCTGACAATTTATATCCACCCTTCAATAATGTTTTCACATGGATACTAACAAACCAAAAAAATTCTTTAAGGTCTTTTGAACGTGATAGAACACTATTTTTCATGCACCATTCTAATTGTGAGGCTTCCCTTAAATTTTAATAAAATATATTAAAATAAATAAATCATAGTATTCAAGGTTGAAACCTGAGTTAAAGGCTCCACTATCGGTTTACCAAAAAAAGCTCCACTATCGTGCTTTGTAGAAACTCTTACTAATATGAGATGTATGAAAATGTTTTTGATGTACGCTTAAATATGCATCATGTTAGTAACTTTTTTTTCGTTAAAAAAAGAAAGATAAATATTTATTATTAAAAAAAATCAGATGTAAAAGGTTATCCCTTTATAAGAACATACGTTACATTAGTGTTTGTGAGCGCTCATTGTCATATCCACAAATCACCAATTAAGATATATTGATACCACAAGCATGTAGATTAATTCGTATGAAATTCTTCCAGCGGCTTAATCAATGATTAAGAAATCTCTAAAAAAAAGTTTATTAATAACAGAAATCAAATTTAAACTTTTTAAATGAAATACTTTATTTACCATATGACCATAGTGCCTTTATAAATTCCCACCAAGCTTTGACGAACGTTAAAATATTTTATAAAATAATATTGAATATTTTCTTTTTCACTAGCCTGTACATTTCATTCAGTTATAAATATACAACTTTTGGCTCATCGAGTATTCAATTAATTCGGCTGCATTGTCATCTTTATTAGTATTGGGCTTTTTCATCCTTTTGTCCTCATTAATTAATTAATAATCATTTTGTCTCTGATTCAAAACTATCTATCATTCTGTCTCTCTTTAATCGACTACCTTGCATTTTTAATCGATTAAATGGTCAAAACAGACAAAAATGGCTGTTGGGAGATTTAATCGACTAAATCTCCCTATTTAATCGATTAAATCTCCCAACGGGTAACAAAGGGAAACAAATCAGTATGATTTTTTAATCGATTAAATAGGGAGATGTAGTCGATTAAATCTCTCAACAACTATTTAATCGATTAAAAATGCAAGTTAATCGATTAAAGAGGGGCATATTGGTGGATAGTTTTAAATCAGGGGCAAAATGATTATTAATTAATTAATGAGGGGCAAAATGATCAAATAGCCATTGGTATTGCCTATCCCAAGATGATTTCTTCTATTCTTATAGTTCGAATATGAGACCTCGAAATAATATTACATTATTTTTTTATATGGAAATAAACATTATTATAAGAAAAATAAAATTAACGATGTTTACATGGAAGGATATCTGTTTAGTAAAAGATAAAAAAAAAAATTACCCTAAAATCACGATTTTCAAATATGTTGAAAAAGTGAGTTTCTCGAAAATATCACCAAAAAATTATTTGGTAGGTCAAAATATTCACGAGAATATTAGTTAATTTTCTTGATATTATGTTTAGTTAATTATAAAATATTACTGAAGATATGGATTGAGGTTAATTATGTCCCAAAACAATTATCAAATTTCTCATCACATAAGATTCTCAAAATACCACCAGCCATTTTGTGGTATTTTAAGATATAATTTTTCTTCATAAACATGAATATTGGGAATACGACTTTCCTGGAAAAAAATTTACAATCCTCGTAACAAACGTGGATAAATCGAATTCTCAATTTTACTTTCCAAGAATTTTAAAAAATTTCCTGCTACCCAATACACTTTAAAACAAGATTGAGAAACATTATTTCAAGATCATAACATTTGAAACAGTGACCAATTTGCTACTTAAAAAAAAATAAAAAATTGCCAAGATGCTATGTGAACAGTAAAATTTCTCAAAGTGCCAACACCTAATTTGCTATGCACCATAGCGAACTATGTGTGTTGGTAACAATAATGCGATACAAATTCACGTGGCTGTGTGTTGCTACTTTCACTGCACTTTCTTTTCCAAAGCTTTTTTTTTCTTCAACTTTTATGATTTCCAACTTTTTATTTTTGACTATCACCTAGTTTGCTATCCAGTCTAGCGAACTTATACTAGATTGATATGTGTCCTACTAATATTCTGAGCAGTCTGCCATTTCACATAGTTTACTATTATTAGTAGCAAATTAGGTCTAAAGACACATCACATCAGTAAACAAAGTTCTTTACTTATTATAATGAACTTATACGCGTAACACTTTGATAATTTTTAGTGTTCTCATGATATTTAGACAATTTTTTTTTAAAAAGTGATAAATTGATCAGTGTTCTATAACATTTTCCTCAAATTTGGTGTGTGAAGATTTCCCATGTCCAACTTTGGACAAGAAGAAACGGCGATGTGATCGCTGTTTAATTGTCATTAACGAAATGATTATAAGTTTTGATTTAATGAAATGAAAACAGTTAAAATTAAACAAAAGTGGTAATTCCCATAATGAGTACAACATAGTATGAAGAATATTGTGATGCTCTTAAAGTCTCTCTCTTGTTGGAACTTGGAATCTCTCCTTATTACGTGCTAAAAGGTACAAAATTTGGAGCAGAAAAAACCTAAAGTCACCTACTCTCACTGACTTGCACCTCAGAAGAATTTTCTGGCTGAAACAAAAGGGTAAAAACGTGAAATTGAGCATCAGAAACTGATAACTCTACCTTTTTCCCTCTTCTTACCACACTGCTTTTTTCTTCTTTTCCTTTTTCCCTTCTCTTTGTTGTGTGTGCTTTGTGGTAAGAGACAGAAAGACGATAAAAGTTGTCCCCACAGTTTTTCACGGTCATATACTCACTACACTAAGCACTCTTTCACACCCTCTTTTACCATCTCTTTCCAAAGTAGTCTCGTTAGGGACAAACAAAAAGCACCACCGAGAGAGAGAGAGAGAGAGGGAGAGAGGGAGAGAGAAATGGTCTGTTTTGTGGTGGTTAAGTAGTGTGTGGAAGAGTAGCTGAGATTGAAAAAGAGAAAAATTTCGAGAACAAAGTAAAGGAAAGAAAAGAAGGGAGATTCAGAGAAGGGGAGAAAAGAAAAGAAAAAAAGGTGTTAAATTGTGACGTGAAAGAAGGGTGGTGTGAAAAAAAGGTATATAGTGAGAGAGAAAGAGAGAGAGAGAGAGAGAAAGAAATGGTGGGCTCAGGAACAACATCAGATAGGAGCAAAGAAGCTGTTGGGATGATGGCCCTTCATGAGGCCCTCAGAAGCGTATGTCTCAACACAGATTGGACTTACTCTGTCTTCTGGACCATTCGTCCTCGCCCGTATGCTTCTCTCTCTCTCTCTCTCTCTATCTCTCTCTCTCTCTCTCTCTCTCTCTCTCTCTCTCTCTCTCTGTGTATGTGTGTGTTTTGAATGTCATGGTTTTGACCTGTTTTCTCATCTGGGTCTTCTCCATTTTCTTGCAGAAGAGTGAGAGGTGGCAATGGGTGCAAGGTTGGGGATGATAATGGAAGCTTGTAAGTATGGTTTCTCTTTCCCTTTGTTTGGAGAATAGAGGAACAACAAAAGCCAATACACAACTTTGAAACACTCACCTCAAGCAAGCACTATGTGTATTCTTGTGAAAATATAGTACTGAAGAGATAAAAATCTTTTATGATCCTTGTTGACTAGAAATTTTGACGATGAAAAGTTTATATTTTTAGCAATTTGTGATTCTGGGTATTGCTTGGATTGGTGATTCAATCAATGTTTGTTGAATTTTGGTGAAGGATGTTGATGTGGGAAGATGGGTTTTGCCGTGGAAGGGCTTCAGATTGTCTTGAAGAGATTGATGGAGAGGATCCTGTCAGAAAGTCCTTCAGCAAAATGTCAATTCAGTTATATAATTATGGAGAAGGGTGGGTACTGGGTAGGTGTTTGTTTATGTTGTGGTTTCCAATTTTCTCTCTTTCCTCTGTTTCTCTTTTTCTCTTTCTAATCTTTGAAAATATTTTCAGTACTACGATGTTGGAGGGAGTTACAAACTTATAAGCACAATTTCTCTACACTGTGCTCTGATTGGGTGTTGTTTGGTTTTTGGGAACAGGTTGATGGGAAAGGTTACATCTGATAAGTGTCACAAGTGGGTCTTCAAAGAGCCCACGGAATGTGAGCCTAATATCTCCAACTACTGGCAGAGCTCCTTTGATGCTGTATGCATTTGAACCTTCTCACATTCAATAATACTTCTGATCTTTTTTGTTTTATTCCTTTTCCTTATAATATAGATTTTGATTCCCAAGAGCATTAAATTTAGCCTTTTCTATTAGTTATGTGTTGCTATTTGGTGATTGATTGTCTCAACATCCTCTTTCTGATGTTATTTATTGCAGCTTCCCCCTGAATGGATTGAACAGTTTGAGTCAGGCATTCAGGTGAGAACAGAATGAATGAATTAACACCATGCAATTATTGGTATCAGACAGCTTCTTTTATGTACTTTCCTTTTATGTACTTTCAAGTTTTTGACTATTTCATTTACTTAGATTTTATTTGCATTTTCCCATAACCAGACAATCGCTGTAATTCAAGCTGGACATGGCCTTCTGCAACTTGGTTCTTGCAAGATTGTGAGTAAACTTGTACATAACATAATTTATTTGTTTCTACTCATTTTTTAGATTTTTTTTTTATAATTTAAAATTTATATCACTACTTCTATACCATTCATTTTTGTATGGCTATTCATTGGGTATATGAATCTCTCTCACCCACAAAATTTTATATTTTTCCTTCTATTCTCAGATCCCTGAAGACCTCCATTTTGTGCTAAGAATGAGACACACTTTTGAATCTCTAGGCTATCAATCTGGGTTCTACCTCTCCCAACTCTTCTCTTCAACTAGGAACACTTCCTCTTCTACTTCAGTTCCTTCAAAACATTCCACAATTCCAATTAGGCCACCTCCTCCACTCCTCAACTGGGGTCAAAGGCCACTTGTTGGTTCTGCTACTTCTATGCTATCCTCACCCACTTTTCAACATGCAACTAGACTTGGGTTCCCACAGGCCAAAGATGAGACCCATATGTTTCTCATGCCTCATGCACCTGAACCTACAAGAATGGAAGACATGATGGGGGAGCATGAAAATGACATAAAATGGCCAAGTGGGTTGTCCTTCTTCAGTGCACTTGCTGGAAGAAATGATGATGCTAAGCTTTTGTTTAATGGGGAGAGCTTAGGGAACAAACCAATTGATCAGAGTCACCAACACCCTCTTAATCCAAATCCTAGTTCAGCTGCTTCCAACATTCAAAATGCTAGTGGAAACAACCACAATGATTTCTTGAGCTTGGATAGCCACCCAGAAGGGGCAAGGAAAATGGACAAGTTTAAGAGGAGCTTCACTCTACCTACTAGAGTGGCTTCTCCATCTTCATCTGCTTCAATGGATCATCATCAACAAACAGCTGTGGAGTATAGGAATTCACAAGGAGGGATGTACCCGGATGTCATGGAAACCTTTTTAGAGTGAATGGGGGAGAAAAGCTAAGTAAGTTGTATTAGGGAGAATGAAAAATGAAAAGTTGTATTTAGGTAAAGTTATTTGTGTTCCTTTTCATGTGTTTGCTTTCTTTCCACTTTGTATCCTGTGTTTCTGTAATCCACTTAGTGAGACTTGATTAATGATAATTTCTTTCTTTTTCATGCTTTCTTACTTACATATCCTATATATCCACAAGCAATAAGTTATTACAATTTTCTGAAAGAGTAACATGTAATTCAATCAGATGGTGATGCTCAGTTAGCATAAACAAGCAAACTGGGTATTCAATACATTGAATTGTGTTTGTAGTCAATTGTGTCTGTGGTTTCTATTTTTTCCCCTCTCTACATTATGTGTTTTATTTCCTATACCATATAGTTTTAGTAACGTTTCTTGGGTATACTTTTATTTGATGGCAAAATAAATGAAATTAGAGCAGCAACTTGAATTAACTTACCAGCATTTTCTCTACAAAATGGAGGACATAAGGTATAGTAGGTACATATGCCATTTAGAGTAAGATTCCGTTGCGAATTCAACAAAAAGAAAAAACGGGACAGGAGTGGAAGGTTAAGCTTAGGTTGCCAATTAAGAGTTATGACCATGAAAAAAGTATGGTATAGGTGGGCTTTTCAGAATTTAGTTCTCCATGAATTGGCCTGGTGTGGAAGCCCACATACGTATGGCATACAATAACAATATATGCCATACGGTAGGTGCTTCTGGTGATATGACATTGCAATGCATTATTTTTAAAATATGGATCATTGGAAAACTGGTAAGGATGTGCAAAATAACTAAAAAAGTGAACCGAACAATGAACCGAACCGAACCGAACCGCCCCTTAAAATAACTGGTTTTTAAAAATCAGTTCATGAACCGAACCGGTTTTTAAAGAACCAGTTCATGAACTGAACTGGTTTTTAGAACCAGTTTAAGAATCGAACCGGTTTTTAGAACCAGTTTAAGAACCGAACCATTTTGAACTGAACTGAACCGAACCGTTTCTGAACTGAACCGAATCGAACCGTTTTCAAACCGGACCAAATTGATTTTTATAACTTTATTTTTTAAATTTTTAATTTTTTTTCTTTTCAAAAGAGAGTCGACCCGAACCGATTTTGAACCGAACCATTTCCGAACCGAACCGTTTCTCACCGAACCGAACCACTTCCGAACCGAACCATTTAAACCAATTCGGTTCGATTTTTTAAAAAAACCGGTTCGGTTCAGTTCAGTTCGATCGATGCACATACTTAAAAACTGGTAGAGTCTTTTACCAATAAATCTTTGGTACTCTTGGAGTATTATTATATTTTCTAAAATAGGTAAAAAATTGTAATTTTAGATGAAAATAAAGATAAAAATATTAGATTTAAATGGGATAAAAATTTTCTTTTTAAGAAAAGAGGTGCACCGAATTCGGTCCTCCCATGTTACCAAAGAAAAAAATCATCTTTTATGTTAACCCAGTGTTTGAAAATGTGTAAAATATTTTACTTCAAGTGGATGGTTAGTATAATACTTACCATTAGGTTACACTTAATTTATGTTTGAGAGGAGTACAAGTTCACTCCTAATGGTCCTACCATGAAATGGCGAGAAGGAACTACGAGTAGACATAAAATTACTGTAAAAAGTAAGCGTAATGAACAAACATTGCCATTTAGAAAAACATGGGAACATATGGGACATAATACAAGTGGAATTCAGTCATCACTACTTCATGAGGCATAATTTATAGTATATGAATCGAAGTTACATTGACTTTGGGTTTCTTAGGAAAAAATCAAGCTAAAAACGTTCTGATTTTTTCCAAATTAATTATAACTTGGGTAGAATATTTACTTTTGAGAACAAATTTTGATGCTTACCACAAAAATAAACAATTGGTAGGGATGCAAGCATGCACGATGCACCTGACTTTGGTTATGTCGTATAATCGTACCAAAATAAAAATAAAAATAAAAAAGCATAGCGGTAAAGCCGCTATTTTTATTTTTTTTAGTACAATAGACCACTAATTTTACTCGGTGGAAAAGCTAAACTGATAAATAGGAGTCTAGCTAGGCATAGATCTCTCAAGCTTTATTTTATGCAACTTCTCACCATATTTTTTTTTCTCTCTACAAAGCTACTCTTATATAGTGTCGAGCTAATACTATTTTGGCAGTTAAGCTTGCAATTTCTGTCATGTCATATGGTTCAGGTACACATATTTCATTCTTATAAAGAGGTGCACGCGATTGTGATCATCAGTGTACTGACATTCTTATGCCCCCATAAATATACTTGTGTGATGTGTCCGTGTCCAGATCTCTAGTAAAGATACCTTCCATAAAATAAAGAAACATGAAAATAAAATAAAATGACAAAATAAAGAAACATGAAAAAAAAAGAAAATGACATAATAGTAAGAGCAAGCAGCCTAATTATTAAACCAATAATGATGCCTGTACACTTATATATATATATATATATATATATATATATATATATATATATATATATATATATATATAGAGAGAGAGAGAGAGAGAAAGAGAGAGGTACTATCCTTTGACACCTCATCTGAGAGCCATTAGATCAAAAAAGATCAACGACTCTGATTTATAAGCATGTGATATCATTGATCTTTTTTTATCTAATGGCTTCCAGATAAGGTGTCAAATTTTAAATTTGAGACCGGTGTCAAATGATTCTACTTCATATATATATAGAGAGATAAGATCCTTTGACGCCAATGTCAAATTTAAAATTTGACACCTCATCTGAGAGCCATTGGATAAAAAATGATCAACGACTCTGATTTGTAAGCATGTGACACCATTGATCTTTTTTGATCGAACGACTCTCAGATGAGGTGTCAAATTTCAAATTTGACACTCGTGTCAAAGGATCCTACCTCATATATATATTTGGGACAAGATCAACTTATCTTGGTGTAAGAATGATAACTTATTTTTGTGTAAGAAAAATAAGTCTTATACCAAATTTTAACCGTTAATTTCCATGAATCTAACGGTTAAAATTTATTGGGTCACAATTATTAATTAATCATTAATTTTCAATATAGTATAACCGTTAGATTCACGGGAATTGACTGTTAAGATTTGTTGAGTTTATTCTTACACTTGTGTAAGTCGATTATATATATATATATATATATATATATATATATATATATATATATATATAAAAAAGAGTTATATTTACAAATTTTTTGTTTACAAAATCTTACAAACTCAACTATGTATTTCGGGAAATACACATTCAAATATTTGTATTTCTTGGAATACATAGTTAAGTTTGTAAATACAAAATTTGTAAACGTAATCTTTCTAATATATATATATATATATATATATATATATATATATATATATATAGGAGCATGATTAATTTATACCAGTATAAGAATAATAAGTCTTATATCAAATCTTAACAGTTGATTTTTATTGATTAATAAATATGAACTAATAAATTATAACTGTTAAACTCATGGAAATCAATAATTAATATTGATGTAAGACTTATTATTCTTTTGTATATATATATATGGAAAAGTATTTGTCATTTTAAATGACATAAAATTATGTCATTTTAAGAGAGAGATAGACACAAGATAATTTTTTATTTAAAATTTAAATTAAAAAAAAAACCAACCACTTTCTCTCCCATGATTTCTGTAATACCCCGTGTATACCCGTTTTGTTAACATATCATCGTATTAAGCTACGCTTAATTAAAAATATGTGAAATATCTTTTTCTTTTCAATTATGACGTCATTAAACTTAACCAAGTTGATCCCTTAATCAATTTCATAAAATATCGTCTGTATGTAAATTGCAAAAAGACATCTAACTGAAATACCTCATAATATAGATAAAGTGAGTATCTATGTCACGGATCCACTACACGTAGTCCGGACAATAATCCTGATACATTAATACAACTCCAGCATAAAACAAGATATAATCAAGTCTATGTGGCATGGACAATCCCCATGCTCACCAAATCAACAACATAACCAACATAGTCTCAACAGAGGAATCCATAAACTGAAGCTAAATGCATAAGATAGTAAATAGGATCCAACATCCAATCATAACAGCATAACAGCATAAGCAGCATAAACATGTAACATCTATCAGCTAAGCTCTGGCCTCCTGCCACTAAAGGTCTCAACCCCCGCATTACCTGGACCTGAAATAAGCATTCCCCGAACGTAGGGTGAGATCTCTAAACTAGAAATCTCAGTAAGACAAGGGGTTCTCAAGAATCTTCCACCCCAAGCTCACTTACATGTGCAATATAAGTTCCAAAAACAGTAATTCAATATAAGTTCCAAAACTCAATGCAGTGCAACAGATATTCATACCATGTGTGTTTAACTATTCTACTGGCCAGAGAAATGCAGGAATACGTCTATTACCTACAGATAGTACAAGGAACACCGTTTGCACCTCACTCACAGCCTCACCATATTGTATGTACTACATACTCAGGCTTACCGTATAGGTGGAACACCACATGCATATCATAAAGACACTAGTATATAACAGCTCAACAGCATTTCCAAAACATCAAAAGCATGTAACACAGAATGCATATAACCATACCCCCATGGGACATGGTGGAACCACAACATGGCTAAACCGATGACACGAAAGCTTACCTTGCAAGCTAGCCATCCCAGCCAAGAGTCCTCACAGCTCAACGTCTACAAACAGTATAATCACAATCTGTTTGGACCAATAATTATATCAATATACAACTCTACAAACATACAATGTAAAGACAACACCTTTCCTTTTACGTTTTACGTCTTAAGGCTCACACCAAGCCACAAGCTCTTAATCACTTGATTCTGACTTAGTTCAATTAAAACAGAAGTTCAACTTCATCAATCTAGGGTCCACAAACCCCCAATAGCCTACTGCATGAACAATGCAGCTACTGTTCTTCGAAATCCCAGAATATCCGGATATTTGTCGATCCGGATATGCATATCCGGATATCCATATTCGGATATCAAGGGACCCCATATCCAGATATCAATATCCGGATATTCACAACCAAATATCCAGATATTTCGCGGCAGAACCTAGATTCTGTATCTCGCGAAAATATCCTCCAAAGGTCCAACTTTTATCGATTACAGAAGCTTAGACATGCATTTCTAAGTGTGTTAAGCATTACCCAACGTTAGGTTATCATCTTAAGCTCATTACATGCATCAAGGTTCCATTTTTAAACATTTAAACTCAAGTTCAAGGGTGATGATCATACCACAAGCTCAAAACAGAGGATGAAGGTGCTCTTGGCATGGAGCTCTCCCTACAGCTCCAAAGGTGCAGGCACTAAGGTGAACGAAAATGATGCACAAGGTAGCTCTTTTACTCAACAAGAAAGCTCCTTGGAGCTTCAAAACACCAAATAAAGGCTCCCTCCTCACCAAAACCAGAAAACAGCACACCCAACCTCACAAGACAGTAGCCATACACAGAAAAGAAGTCATTTTCTCACTCACAAGGATTGTTCACACACACCTAAGGTGTTTAAGTGAGAAGAAATGGAAGAAAATGGCCTTTGGCTCTTGAAATGAGAAAAAAACCAATGAAACAGTGCATGGAGGAGCTGGTCAGCCGCAAGCCTTACGTAGAGTTAAGGTTTCTAGGGTTTTGTGCCCAACACAAGAGTATTTATAGCCAATTAACCATTAAACACACAGTATAAACATTAATTGCTACGCTTAGCATTTTAATTCCAAACTCAGGATTCTTAACCTACTCAATTTAGAAGAATTATCATATTTTTTTATATTTTTCGGAGTACCTTTCCGTATGCGCTTTTCATAGCCAGTATCAGTTTCTGGCACCAGTTCTCGTTATTTTAACTTGAAACTCGTTTTACAAGTCCTACATATTATTCTAGGAATATTCATGCACTTATTATAATTTTTCAGGATACTTTATCGGTACGCATTTATACCGACTAGCAGAACCGGTATCTTCACTTTTCTTCTGAAAAGCGACTTTCAGCATTCTAATCACTTACTATAATTATTATAGCCTTATAATAATTATTAGGGTCAAGTATGGAATTATTTCCTAATTTCACATAATTAATTAATTAACTTCCTTAATTAACGGTGCAGGTTTTTACAATTTCCATTTCTTGTGTATATCTCTCTCCTAAAATGACATAATTTATAGGGTTTTCTTTTTCTGCAGTTAATGCAGATAAGTTATCTGCAATAAGCCCAATACGACGTCGTTTTGGAGGCGGAAATCATGGTATTTTTGTAATTTTAATTTATTTCAGGGTTATTATAGTCTTTATAATTATAATTTTTTAATCTTTCAATCCCAAAACGATGTTGTTTTGGAAGTAAATGCAGATAATTTATCTGCATTAACTGCAGAAATATTTTTTTGTAATTTATATCGTTTAAAATGACAAACATCAAACCCAAATATATATATATATATATATAATATATATATATATATATATACACGTAATTATATTTGAAAACACATTAACCTTATGTAAATAGGAAAAATCAATCCTCTTTTTTCATGGAAATCATTCACCCTATCCATCATATTGCTCTGCATTGCTCAATTCTCCACAATGCTCAGTAAACAGGTATAATATTACAAAACAATTTTATATATAGCTCACCCGCAATCCAAGGCAAAATTTTCTTCATAAACGTTCAAATTCAAACAACTCTTTTGGTCACAATTCCTCGGAAAATCTTTGTTTTGCATCCACAAGCAAAATAAACAATTCCACGTGGTAAACACATGCACGTATATATCATATAACTACCCAAAATCCCATTTACGAACCCAAAAAACAAAATAATCAAAAGAAAAGTTGCAGAGGATACATATTCACAATTTTCTTGCAATCTTATCTCTTTGTTCTGAGGATAAGTTTCAAGCAGCCGTAAAATTGTTCCATTATGATCGGAAGCCGGATTAGGCAAACAATCACTTTATAAAAAATGTAGAGATAATTTTGCATACTATAAATCTTCATTCTTATTCTCACAAAGTCAGATAGCCTTATACACTTGGATTTTTCCTTATCTCTTTTTTGTGGTTCTTAGACGGTTCCATGGCATGACATTCTCTACATGCCATCACAAACCACCGGAAAATTCTCCGGCCAAACCGCAACCGCACACCCCTTACCTTGTCCTTCTTGTTCTTCTTCTTCTTCCTTTTTGTTCCTTCCTCCTTCCCTTGTTGCATGTCCCCTCTTCTTCTCTTAGAGACATCACGGTTCAACGCCGGCACCGGCGTTATATACTGCCACCGCTGCGAAACCACTGATCTATTCACCATGTATGCAGCTTTGCCCGATGATGAGACCTTGTTGTGAAACAACCTTCTCTCAGAACTGTCACTAGAGCTTGTCCTCGCACTGCTGCAACTACTGCTTCCTCTGCTATTGGTGCTGTTGCTTCGTGATGACAACAACGAGTCCTTGCTGTTGATGCTGCTGGTTCGGCTCGTCGTCACGATGGGGTGGTGCTGTTGTGACAAAGGGAAAGAATGAGGTTGAAGGAAGCCATTGAAGAAGAGATGATCAGCTGGTGAGGTTCTACAAGGGTAACTGGAGGGTGATTCAGGGGTTAAGGATCCGAATTCGAAGTCTGAGTCTTGGTTCGGGGTGCTCGGGAACGAGAATGAGTCGCCGGAGGTGCTCTTTTTCCGGCGGTTATTGTCCATTGAGGTTTGGGAGAGGGTTGGCTGTGTTTGCATGGGTTTAAGTTTAAGCTTAAGCAGCTTGGGGGTTATACATGTGTTTGGAGAGTGTATTTATACGATGGTTGTGCTGAGATTGGGAAGAGAAGTTTTGGGTTTGATTGGGACCATTGGAGTGATTCTAGGTCTTTGTTGGTTTCAAATTGAGGGAGCTTAGGTGTGTAAAATAATTTGAGCCATGGATGCCAACTCAACCTAGGTTTAAGAAATAGTATTGCATGGTGGTGTTGTAATGATGTTGTTAGCTAGCTTGTGTGAGATGTGTCACTAACAAGTGTGTATCATGTGATGTTGAACTGTGTGGATGTTACCAACAGAAATATATTAATCTCAATCTAATTGATGAGTATTGGGTTTTAAGTTTGGAGGTCCTCATTAAAGCAAAAAGAAAGAAAGAAAGGAAAAAAGGAATGTATTCAAATATGCTATAAAAAAATTGTGTGTCAAACGATGTGGTGATTTCCTGTATAAATTATAGTCTTGTGTTGTGTATTATTTATTTAAAGAAATATTGAGGGGGATCAATGATTTTGGATCAAGAAGTTAGTGGATTTGGAAAGTGGAAATCCGTTTAATCATATTGTCTCTTGGCTGCTATATATATAAATTTAAAATAAAACCTTCAAGGTATTGGATTTCAATAATTATTTGTTTATCCCAAGTATAAGAGCGAATTACATTAATCTATGTCAACTTGCTTTTTATTATTCTAAAGGACACAGAATCCCAAATATGCCCTTTCCTAAATAGATAAAGCAGAAAAACAAAAGTAAAATAAAGTGGAAGGGAGAGGGGCCAAGCAGCAAGCACTACTCACCTTGTAGCATGCATATGGTTCAATTCAGTCTTCTTCTAAAAGAGCAAAGAATGGTTCCATGGTGGGATCACTATTATAGCTTTCTTTTGTAGAAGGAAGCAAAGCCAAAGGCTCCCTACGGTCTAAAGGAAAAGAAAATGGGATGAAACATTTGGAGGCGTGTGATTTGAATGATCAAAGAATTGCTTTTGATTGCTCCCAAACAAACAAGGGGACAAAGTAGGTCTTATAAAAATCCCTGGTCTCTTATTTAGGTTTCTGTGGCGTAACCTATGGCCCATTTCAGCTCATTATGCCTTCGGGACTATCAGTCAGCCAGATTCAGTCTTCAATATCTAATCTTATTTAGGTAATTTCTTCACATCCCAAGCAAATTATTCGTCAATCTTCCTTAGAAAGCACACTTTTAATTAATATGACGCCAACACAAAGTGGCAGGTCCATGGATTTGAAGACAAAGCTGTTGAAGGTTTGATTATAACTAAATATTAATAAACAGTTTTGACTACCAATAGCATATTGAATTGTTGGGAACTCGTTTCCCTCAAGCTCGGCTTCTACAGCTTTTTGCAGAAGTCAGTCAGCAAGATCCTGATCTCGGATCTCAACAATACCTCGGCCTGAATTTCACCAGGCCGGGCAGTGCAGCGGAAAAACGAAAAACACAAATAGGAGAGAGAGAAGGAGAGAGAGAGAGAGCGAGAGAGCACAAGCAGTTTTAACGTGGGAAAATTTTCTTCAATGAAGAAGTAAAAACCCACGGGACCTAGTCCAGATCAAAAATTCACTATGAAAATAATGGTTACAAAGAATTAAAATACACCAATGTGGTGGTTAACTCAACCTATCCAACAATGGTGACAATCAAACTACCCTAGAGATGTTTCACTCAAACTCTCTCTAGAGATCTCTCAAATACAAAGCATAAAGCTTTACTCTCAAATACAAAGCATAAAGCTTTACTCTCAAATCTCAAACAATTTTCTCTCAAATATCAAATCTCTCTCATCTCTGACCTAACCTCCACCCACAACTAATGAATATATAGAGGAGGTGAGATCTAGAGTTTAGGGTTTTTAGGAAACCCCTCAATGGGCTTGGGCTTAGTATTGAAGGAGGAAGCCCAACAAATCTCCCCCTCCGACTTCAATGCGTCGGCTTCGGCATCAACCCGGCTCCTTCACAATAGTCTTCAAATTTCCTTGTTGGAACCGGCTTTGTCATCATGTCGGACCAATTTTGGTCAGTGTGCACTTTGACGAGTTCGAGCTCCCCACCTTCCACCACATCTCGGATCCAGTGATACCTCACATCAATGTGCTTAGTGCGGGAGTGATAGATCGAATTCTTCTCAAGATGGATTGCGCTTTGATTGTCACAACCCAGCTCGTACTTGTCTTGATCATGGCCGAATTCCATGAGGAACTTCTTCATCCACAACATCTCTTTGCTTGCCTCAGTAGCGGCAATGCACTCAACCTCGGTTGTCGATAGTGCAACACACTTCTGAAGTCTTGATTGCCAAGAGACAGGTCCTCCGGCAAATCTCATCATGTATCCCGTCGTCGATTTCCTCGAGTCGGAATCTCCCCCTAAATAAGAATCCGAGTAGCCTTGCAACTCGGCTTTGCCTTCTCCAAATCGGAGGCATAAATTTGTCGTACCTCAGAGGTACTTGAAGATCCACTTCACTGCTTCCCTGTGTTCTTTGCCGGGGTTTGGGAGATACCGGCTTACCATTCCAATAGCATACGCCAAGTTGGGTCTAGTGCAAACCATTGCATACATCAAGCTTCCGACAGCGGATTGGTACGGGACCTTCATCATCTCATCTTTGTCTTCATCAGATCTCGGACATTGCTTCTGGTTCAGCTTTATGTGTCCTGCAAGAGGGTGCTCACTGTTTTAGCTTTGTCCATGCTGAATCTCTTCAAAATCTTCTCAATATACTTCTCTTGACTCAGCCACAGTAGCTTCTTTTGTCTATCTCGGATAATCTTGATTCCGAGAATTTGCTTTGCAGGGCCAAGGTCCTTCATTGCGAAGGATGAGCTCAACGCCTTTTTCAGGGCGGCTATCCTCGATTTGTCTTTCCCTACAATAAGCATGTCGTCAACATATAACAACAAGATCAAAAAATCTCCGGCCTCATACCTCTTCACAATTACGCAGTGGTCGGCTTCTGTCTTCTCAAACTTATGATCAGTCATGAATGATTCAAACTTCTTGTACCACTGCCGAGGTGCTTGCTTCAAGCCATAGAGGCTCTTCTTCAACTGACATACCAAGTCTTCTTGGTCTGGAGCTCGGAATCCTTCAGGTTGTTCCATATATATTTCTTCTTCTAAATCACCGTGAAGAAATGTCGTCTTCACGTCCATTTGTTCTACCTCGAGGTCCATCGAAGTTGCCATAGCTAACACGGTTCGGACCGAGGTCATTTTCACCACAGGAGAAAAAATCTCCTCAAAGTCTACTCCTTTCTTCTGATTACAGCCTTTCACTACACTTCGGGCTTTGTATCTCGGCTTTTGCCCGTTCTCTTCGTTCTTAATCTTGTAGACCCATTTGTTTTTCAGAGCTCGTCTTCCTTCAGGCAACTCGGTCAGCTCATAAGTCTGATTCTCGTGCAGAGGCTTCATCTCGTCTTGCATTGCCTTTTCCCATTCTTCTTTCTCTGAGCTCGTCACAGCCTCATCATAACTCTGAGGCTCACCATCTTTAGCAACAACAGTGTATTAATCAGATTGGTATCTTGTAGAGGGTTTTCTTTCTCGAGTTGGATATCTCGGTTGTTCTTCAGCTTGAGAACCCGGTTCATCATTCTCATCCCGGATCTCATCATCAACTCGGACCTCATCATCAGCATGTTGCTGGTCATCATTTTCTTCATTATTTTCTTGATTTTCTCCCCCTGCTTCAGCTCGGACAGGAGGGATGGGTTCTTCACGTCTGACAGTAACCCGGACTTTGAGCTTCAAGATGTCATGAATATTTTCTTCTTCATGAAAGATCACATCTCGGCTTCTCACTATCTTCTTATTGATTGGATCCCAAAGTCGGATCCCGAACTCACATATCGGCGAACCAAGATAAATGCATTCTTTGGTCTTCGCATCAAGTTTTGCCCTTTCATCTTTAGGGATATGCACGAAAGCTCGGCATCCAAACACCTTCAATTGATTATAGGCCGCTTTCCGACCTGTCCAGACTTCTTCTGGAATTTCTCCTTCAAGTGGCCGTGATGGTGAGAGATTGATCAAGTCAACAACAGTTCTGACGGCTTCTCCCCAGAATGATTTCGGCAATCCAGCATTGGATATCATACTTCGAACTTTCTCTTCAATAGTAATGTTCATCCTCTCAGCAAGTCCATTCAACTGTGGAGTCTTGGGGGACGTCTTCTCAAGTCGAATTCTGGCCGCTCTGCAGTATGCATCAAAAGGGCCGCAATACTCACCACCATTATCAGATCGAACCACCTTCAATTTTTTGTCAGTCTCCCTTTCAACCATAGCATGAAATTCTTTAAAGGATTGGAGTACCTGGTCTTTAGACTTCAACAAATATACCCACACTTTGCGGGAGTGGTCATCAATAAATGAAACAAAGTACTGAGCTCCTCTAAGGGATCTTTCCGACATGGAGCAGACATCAGTATGGACGAGGTCAAGAATATACATGCGTCGTCTAGGTTGATCTGGTCTCACAAAAGAAACCCGGTGCTGCTTTCCAGCTAGGCAGTGCGTGCAACTCTCCACCGCATGGCCTTTTAACACGGTCAGTAATCCTTTCTTGTTTAGGATCTAGAGCCCTTTCTCGCTCATGTGGCCGAGGCGCTTGTGCCATAGCTCCAAGCGAGGTTCATCTCGGACAGAATTGGCTTCTCTGCCATTAATCTTTCCTTGCATCACATACAAGGAGCCTTCTTTCTTACCTTGGGCCACGACCAAATTTCCCTTGGCCAGTTTCCATCTAACACTACCGAAGTAGTTCACTAACCCGACATCATCAAGCTTGCCCACTGAGATTAGGTTCAATCGCATTTCAGGAACATGCCTTACATCCTTCAACACAAGTCGGCACCCAACATCCGTGGTCAGGGTCACATCACCGACACCATCAATCTTGTTGGTCACTTGATTTCCCATCTTCACGACTCCAAAATCACCACCTCGGTAAGAGGAGAAAAAACCTTTGTGTGGAGTAACGTGGAAGGAGGGCACTAGAGTCAACAATCCAGGTGCAGTCATCATATGCAACATTCAAATAATTATCCTCGCCAAAGAAGAATATCTCGACATCCGGGTTGGCAGCCACCGCAGTGGTGGTCTTGTCTTCCCTCTTCTTGGGAATAATCTGATCCGGCTTCACAAAGCCGTTCTTCTCATCATTCTGCAAAGTCTAGCATTCTAGCTTCTTATGACATGTCTTTCCACAATAAAAGCACTTTAACTCATATATTGGCTTTGACTAACCTCTGGACTTTCCTCTTCTGTCACGATCTCGACCCCGGCTCTTGCTTCTACCTCGGGAGTCGGATTTCCCTCTGTTCTCACCAACGTTAGCCTCAGACGTGCTCGAAATACCTCGTTCTCTTCTCCTGGATTCTTCGCCCAGGAGGCTGTCTGTCACGACATCCATCTTCAATTTTCCATCTGGGGTTGAATTATTCAAGGTCACCACCAGAGTATCCCAACTTTCTGGCAGCGAGCTCAACAGCAGCAAGGCCTACATCTCGTTATCAATTCTCATCTTAGCCTTTGACAGCTGATTCACAATACCTTTATAGGTGTTGAGGTGTTTAATCATACTCATGCATCCTTGTATGCAAGCTTCACAAGTCGGCGAACCAGGTGTGCTTTGTTCTTGGGAGTCTTCTTCTGAATCATGGACTCCAGCTTCGTCCACAGCTCATACACATTCGTGAACTCGGACACGTGCTTAAAGGGGCTCATGTCAATATATTTTCTGATCGTAGCTACCGCCTTACGACTCTGGATCTGCCACTCCTTATCGGTTTTTCCTTTCGGTCTCTTATCAAGGATAATGGGCTCATGTAGGTCTTTGCAGTAGAGATGATCTTCCATCATCAGTCTCCAATAGGTGAAATTGTCTGCGGTCAGCTTGAACATATCTCCATCATGGGTTATGCCACTGGTCTCCATCTCGTCTCCCTCAGAACCCGTTGAACTCGGGCTCTGATACCACTGTTGGGAACTCTGTTCCCTCAAGCTCGGCTTCTACAGCCTTTTGCGGAAGTCAGTCAGCAAGATCCTGATCTCGGATCTCAACAATACCTCGGCCTGAATTTCACCAGGTCGGGCAGCGCAGCGAAAAAATGAAAAACATAAATAAGAGAGAGAAGGAGAGAGAGAGATAGAGCACAAGCAGTTTTAACGTGGGAAAACCTTCTTCAATGAAGAAGTAAAAACCCACGGGACTTAGTCCAGATCAAAAATCCACTATGAAAATAATGGTTACAAAGAATCAAAATACATCAATGTGGTGGTTAACTCAACCTCTCCAAAAATTGGTGATAATCAAACTACCATAGAGATGTTTCACTCAAACTCTCTCTAGAGATCTCTCAAATACAAAGCATAAAGCTTTGCTCTCAAATCTCAAACAATTTTCTCTCAAATATCAAATCTCTCTCATCTCTGACCTAACCTCCACCCACAACTAATGAATATATAGAGGAGGTGAGATATAGGGTTTAGGGTTTTTAGAAAACCCTTCAATGGGCTTGAGCTTAATTAGCATTGAAGGAGGAAGCCCAACATGAATAACATTATAAATGCTATTAATAAAGTGGCAGGTCCATGGATTTGAAGACAAAGTTGTTGAAGGTTTGATTATAACTAAATATTAAGAAACAGTTTGACTACCAATAACATATTGAATAACATTATAAATGGATTACCAAAAAAAAAAACATTATAAATGCTAATAGAATTTACAAAATAACAAGAGCATATATTGTACTTAATTATGACTACACTCAATCCCTTATAAGTATTGTAAGTTTGCAAGTTTGAAGACCCAATTTTCACATGTCGTCCAACATTTTTAATAAGTTCAATTCATATAAGAATTTCTTATTAACTAGCTATAAATTAAAACTCGATTTGATCGGGATAGTGTTAGCGCATCACTTTGGGTCAATCAGTGAGTTACCATTTGAAATGTTTAAAAGAGATATATATGTACAAATTCATATTTTATACTATTTTAAAAAATATATATATAACATAAATAAAAAAAATTAAAAACATAAAAGATGAAAAATAAAACTATTTGAGTTTTATTTAATCTTTGGGGAGGGTTATATTTGCAAATTTTTTGTTTTCAAATTATTACAAACTACACTATGTACTCCCGGAAGTACACTAGGTTACACTATGTACTTCTGGAAGTACATAATATAATTTGCAAAAATTTATAAAAAAAAATTATAAACAGATTCTTCTCATTGATCTTTTTTTTTGAATTAAAAAGGAAAAATTAAATACGGTTACTCATTCTTGGGTAAGCTATACCCATACAGTCCATACTTAACAGGGTCAGACATTCTGTGGGAGGTTCCTCCAGCCTATGGATATTCCAATCTGTCCATGCACTACCATGGGAGGCCAAAGCATCTGCCACCATGTTGCCTTCTCTGAAGGAATGGCTAATCTTGGTAAGCTACATCCTTTGTAGTAAGGAATTGATCCGTTTGATCAGGGCAGCAACTGGGTGACATGGATCACAGCCCGAAGTAATGAGATTAATTGCCACTTTAGAATCCCCTTCAATCCAGAGTTTCCTGCACCCCAAGTCCCAGGCCATTTCTATTCCACTAAGAAGACCCCAAATTTCAGCCCTTAGTGCAGAACCTCTACCCAAGTTCCTACTAAAACCTGCTACCCATCTTCCAGCGTCGTCTCTGAAGGCTCCACCACAACTCGATTGAGCTCCACCTCTCCTGCTGGAACCATCCACATTAAGCTTTGTCCAACTGCTGGGGGGACTGGTCCAGCAAATGAAATTCTCCTCTTTCTCCACTCAGCAAATCCCCACTATCCCCGTCTTGGTATACGCATCGTTCAAGTTGGAGATGTAAATCTTCGCTCCCCTAATAAGAGCATCTTGGTTTGTACTTTTATGATTAAAAACCAGATCATTACGCGCCTTCCATATTAACCATGTTGTGGTTCCGAACAACTGGTTCCAGTCCCAACGTGACTCCACTGCATTTTTTGTTCCCATATTGCACTGCAACCAGTCCTTGAGATTCAACTAAAAGAAATCAGGAATGGAAATATTCTGAGTGAGGCGTGACCAGATGCCTTTGCACCAATCACAATCTCTTAGAGCATGAATAAGGTCTTCAGGTTCCTGGTTACATCTAGGACAGAGATTACAAGTTGTTAGATTTCTGTGCACTCTAGCCACATTGGTTAAAAGGTGACTTCCTAGAGCTTTCCACAGGAACATTTGTATGCGATATGGTCCCCTCCACTTCCAAGGATTGACCACTAACCTATTATCAGGTTGAGATTGGGCTTCGAACAGCTCATACGCAGACTTGACAGTGAACGCCCCATTGCCAGACATACCCTAAATAACCACATCCTGGCCATCCTGAGGAGTGGGTGGCATGATGTTTGCTATAGCTTCGCAGGACTGAGTTGCTGCAAATTGGTTTATCAAACTCCAGTTCCAGTCCCCATTACTTTGTACAAATTTGTCCACTGTCCAGTCTTCCATCTCTGAAGGCATCTTAATCGACTCACTCAAGTTAACACCCTCATTGTTGATGAGCCATCGATCTTTCGAGAAGAGGGTGTTAGAGCTGAAAGTTAAATGGCCTTGAAGGTCGAAGCATGTGAGAGGGAAAAATAAAATTTTTCAAGCGGAACTACACATGCATTCAAGACTCATGCTTTAAGACAACATGATGTTACCTTTGTTTGTGATTCAAATAGCAAGGAGATCACTGTCAGGTTTGAAGGGTTCAAACCCTCTAACGTTGATCCACACCACCCACGTCAAGATGCAAGAACACTTTCTTGAAAGCCACCAATTGACCACCACACCAAGCTTGCTAGGCGTCCAATGTGTGAAGGAGGAGGCTAGGTAAAGGTGTTTATAAGAGTGAAGTCTTCAACATGAAAACTTCACAAGAGTGGGGCATGGATTGGAGTAGAATTAGCTAGGAGTTTTTGTGAAAACCCTAAGGAGAACTTACCCAAGTTGGCGCACAAGAGAGTGAGGGAATTAGTATCTCAAATCAGAATTTTTTACTTTACTTATAATAAAAGTGCCGCACAAGTGAGTGAGACAAAGGTGGAGTTGTTGCAATTCAAAAATCCCAACAACCTCCCCTTTGAATCCTCATAAGACTAGTCTTTATCTAGTCAAAATTCTGAACCATTGGTCATCATATGACCACCAATTCATGCGCCCCTATTCAGCCCAAAAAGGGTCCAGATACATTTGAGTTGTTGCATTCAAGTTTGAACCAACTAGCTCACTGATTCTCTCAACAACCAAATCTAATTGGAGCTTGTTGGTTTGACAAGATGACAATCATCTCCCACCAAAATGGCGCCCCAAATCAGCCCTTGGAGATCTCCATAGATCTTCTCTTGATACAAGGGATTTGTTCCAACAAGATCTCATCTTACTCTTTTGTTATGAAACAACTTTTTATAGCCAATTCAAACATTTAAATTCAAATGTTCAAACATTTAAATTCTAAATTCAAATTCAAATTCAAATTTCAATTTCAAAATTCAAAATTCAAAATACAAAATTCAAAATTCAAAATTCAAAATTCAAATTTCAAATTTCAAATTCAAAATTCAAAATTCGAATTTCAAAATTCAAAATTCAAAATTCAAATTTCAAATTCAAAATTCAAAATTTAAATATTTGATAATTAATTTAACTAATTAAATTAATTAGTAATGTCTTGGACCATCCAAGCCCATTAACAATACCATGCGCCCTCTCCCTTTTAGGTGGGCTTCCAAACTTCATCTTGGGCTAACAACCATTATTAGGCCCAATAACTTTAATGCTATATCATCATGACATTAAGGTGTTAGTGTGTGACCCATTAGGTCCAACATAGCCACTGACATAAATGGGCTCGGGCTCAACAAGCCCACAACCCATTTAATTACAACACAGAGCACTAGCAATGCTTTGTTGCCCCAGAGCTAGTTAGATTAATGACTTGATCATCCTATTACACATATTTGGTTGCCGTATGTATTTCTTTTCGTCTCAGTTACCTTCCCATAAAACCTATGGCAAGGAAGTGTATCAATCCTTGCGGTTTAGGGTAAGCTTTATTCGAAATATGGAATCTTCAATTTACTGACTCTAAAGGCAGATCATCTCATGATCTCTTTTACTATGCATAGATTACCGAGTCCCTATAAATGTCATCCCGATTTCTCCGGTTTACAGATAACCTAATCTCTCACAGAGATTTGACGAATTTCTGCAGCTTATCACCCTAGCCTGTGATCTTTCAGGACAAGCCCAACGGTATACCTATGAGTCTTCATGTTTCAGGCAGATGAGGTATACAGTCAAAGCATGCCTTCTAGAACACAGTCTAGGTAATAACTTCTGGTCTAAGGAAAGACATACCCAAATATAAAGAGACTACTCTAATGATACTCTCTGTAAGATTTTCTCAGAGAGTCTCTTTTGTGGGTCTGTTCAGTGCGAGCTATACCCTTATAGATCCACCCACGACTTTAGCTAAGACATCTCCATATCTGTAGCTCATGAGGTCTTTACCTTGCATCCGAATACAAGTAGATAAGTTGTGCTAGTCTTACCCGAGATCACTGATCCCCATTCTCATTGTCTCTAGACTAGGAACATAAAATTAAGAATAAATATCCAGTATCCTTGAATCCTCATGATCGTGATCTCATCACAGATACTCAAGAGATATCTATTTTATTCCAAGGGGTTTGTCCAGTTACTCATATAAAATATTAACAGTAATATTGAGACAAAATATGAAACAGGATAAATAGTGCTTTTATTTATTTGCGACAATACAAAGGTCCACATATGTCGTAATCTAATAAAAAGATTGTCTCTAGGACATCCATATACTAACAAGAGCTGCTCCCAAGTTGAATCCTGGAGCCTGTAGTAACATGAGGCCAAACCTTGACAATTCCTCTCCAAAGATTCGAGGCTTGTCTCCTTTGATATAGAGGAGGGATGAGACCTTCCCCTACTCCATATTTGTTTTTGAGCACTTGAACCCAAAGGATGTGCTTCTTAGTTAAGATACCATGACCTACTTTCATCAAGAGTGCTTGATTCATCCCTCTTATGTTCCTAATGCCCAAGCCTCCATTATCTTTCTGACGACAAATCTGGTTCCAGGCTACTTGATGAATCTTCCTTTTTTCGTTGCTAGAACCCCACAGGAAATCGCGAGACCTCTGTTCAATCTCATCACAAGTTTTGGCTGGCAAAAGGCAAGACTGCATGGTGTACGTTGGGAGAGTAGATAAGACAGAGCGAACCAATGTTGTCCTCCCCGCCATAGAGAGGGAGCCTCTTTTCCAGTTTGAAAGCTTGGAATCCATATTACTGAGGATGTGAGAGAAGTGGCAAGCACTAGATCGCCCATGCAGCAGTGGTATGCCTAGGTACTTCCCCAGGTTATTAGTCATAGAGAACCCCATGGTTCGGGCAATCTCCAGCGCTCTAGAATGATGAACATTCCTATAGAAGAAAACTTTGGACTTCTCATTGCTAACTCTCTGACCCAACGCAGTGCAGAAGCACTGGAGGATTCTTTCGATCAATACAGCTTGATCTAATGAGGCTTCTGCAAATAGAAGGAGATCATCAGCGAAGAACAAATGACTGATTTGAGGGCCATGTTTCCTAAGAACAATAGGTTTCCAGGTCTTGTTGTTAAGAGCATGGAAAATGAGATGAGCAAGTCTCTCGATGCATATAACAAACAGATAGGGAGACAACTGTCTTATCCCTTGTGTTGGATAGAACTCCCTTGTGGTTGAACCCTCCCATAACACATTTAGAGAAGAATTGGAAACGCTCTCCATGATCAGCTTTATTGCATCCGTTGGTATCCCAACTTCAAGTAATGTACTATGGAGAAAATCTCAGTTGATCTTGTCATAGGCTTTCTCAAGATCGACCTTAATGGCCATCCAACCTTTGGAACCCTTCTTGATGTTCATAGAGTGTATAATTTTCTGAGCAATAATTATGTTATCAGTACTATTCCTCCCTCTTATAAAACTGCACTGGTTGGGGAGGATTAATGCAGTGAGATGAGGTCGAATGCGGTTTGCAAGGATTTTAGACACAGCCTTGAAGATGAGCCCCAACCCAAAAACACTAATAGGAAAAAGAGAGAAGACAAAGCCCAATCTATCATCAACCTAACGCTAACAACCCAGCCTAATTGACCCAGATCCACTAACTTTAGAAAAAAATCCTAGTCTCCATCACCCAAATTAAAAGTACCGAAGGCAAAGTTGCCATTTCAAAAATTGCATTGAAAGAGTCACCCTTGTCTCAACAACACAAATTGGTTTTCATTCCTCCGTAAGCTCCTTCAATCCAAAGCAAAGCATTGTTATTTCCCTGTAGGGCGACGACCCCTGATAGGTAGTTCTTCTGACTAAGAAAAATCGTCGGGTCTATCCATTATTAGGTGAACATCTCTCTACCTCTCCCAGAAGGTTGTCGTTCGTGGACATTATTCATTGAAGGTCTCGACCTCCACCTCAACTAGACAACCCCTCAACTATGTTACACGTCCTAACCAAGCAACAACTCGATTAGGTTCCATCAAGCTTTAAGTATAAAGTAATTGACAAAAAATTGAAAGGGAATTTATTTATTTTTAACGATTAAGTACATAAGGGATTCAATTATAGGTCCATCAACTCTACTTACAAAAAGTTTAACTAGAGATAATCAAACCAATGATGTAACGAAAGAGAAAATAAAAGCTCGGATTCCATCTTGATGAAGCGTGTGACAAATCATTCCTTGATTTCTAAGCCAAGCTGTCACCGTTGCTCTCCCTGTAGGTTCTACTCAAGTGTAGAAGTGTTTATGAGTCACCCAAGGAGGCTAAACTTAATTGCCACTTTGTTTTTATAATGACGCAATGAATTAGGCTTTTCTACTTGTTGGGCGCTTAAGCGTCCGGACACTCATAGAGAATTTATCTTCTGATGTTTGCACGCTTAAGTGCTCAGACACCATAGGAGAATTTATCTTTTGATGTTTGCATGGTTAGGCGGTTGGACCACCCGAAGAAAATTTATCTTATAATGCTTGCGTGCTTAACCACTTAAAGAGTTAAAGTGGGCGCTTAAGCGTTTGAAGTCTACAAGCCTTCATTCAGAATGTCTCTTCATTCTTCAAGTATTCCCTTGATTTGAAATGGTTCATTTGCCCACAAAATGCAAGGATTAGTTCATAAATTCTAATTAGTTCTAGTGAGAATTTTAGTGAAGCACAAAAATCATGATATTTAACTAAATTTCATGCTTTTAATCCCATTATTAACCGGAAGCTTATACTTCCCCAATTCATTTTTACCATTTTTGTAATAAGGATAATTGAGCATTGGCTTGTCAACGCTCTAGTGTTAGGACCAATGTTATAGAAATGAGATCGACCCAGAATCCGATGAATTAGTCATGTAATCGATCTAATTTTTATATTGGACTGGTCATGTTATAGAACTG